TTCTATTACGATAGAAAAAATTCCATTTCCATTCCAAAATTAGGTATTTTCTATACTTTGATTGATAAAACAAAGAGAGATAGATAAACAAGAAAAGGTGCGATAAACGGTAAAAACGCGTTGGGGAAAAAAAAACACTGAATCCGGCAAGATTACTTTGAAGTAACCTCTGTTTTTCCTTCAAAATACCGAAAAAAATTTTTTTTTCACAATAAAATATATAATAATTGAAAGGGGGATTACTTACCAACAAAATAAAAAAAATTCCGATGTCGAAATAATGATTGGTTCAAGAAATATGTGGCACAAAAAAACACAATTTTTTTTTCACTAAATTTGATGCTTTCTACTCGAGATTTTACACAATTATGACTATAGAAGCCAAACTATACTTCAAATGATGTTGGTGTCTGAAGAAGAAATGACAAATAAAGTACGAGGGACAAGTTCATGCTTATTTGCATGTGATTATGTTGTCACACCGTTATAAATAAAGCAAAACATGAAGATTACTTCAAAGTAATCTTCCGGGTTAGAGGGTTAATACAAAATTTATATATTTGGTTTGGCATTGTGGAAAACTAAACAGTTTTGAATAATTATAAGATAAATCTTTCTTACGTACAGATATTGTGATCTTGAGACTTTTTATTTAATTTTATATTAAGATTATATATTTTCAAATAAAACGATTTTAGATTTTATTGTGCCCCCAGTTAGTAACAAACTAATATCAAGGTACTTCTAAATGGTTATTCAAATTTCGATAATTCTTTTTATAGTTGGTCAAAGGAAATTTTTAAGATTTAATGAACAATAAAACTTTAATAAAATTGTAGAAATAAATGGTAAAAATCACAAAAATCCATTTATCATTGTTTGACATTAAAAACATTTGAACGGTCATCTGCTAGAAATGTCAATTCACTTGAAATTCGAATTTAGCTGAAATTATGAGATAATATTGGAATATAATATACAAGAAAAATGTAATGTCTACATTATTATTGCCGAAAAGCAGCTGAGATCTGCCAGAAATTAAAATAATATAATATACAGTGAACAGTATATGTTGGCAGATGAATTATATAATTCAGTTTAAAAAATAATGCAATAAATCCAAAATTGCATATACATTATGTTTTTAAACTCATGCATGTTGCAGTTTGGTTTACTTTACTAAATTATTTAACAATACAGAAGAAAATTCTATTTAATTAACAAAATATTTAGAATTTTGTTTCATGTGCCAAAAATCCATTTGTTTAGCATTGGATATTGAAAATAAGTTGATCTTAGATTGAATACATTGAAATTGCACATATGAACAAAATTTTGTAAATTAATTCTCCTAAGATTTGAACATAAACAATGATGTTAAATTATAAGTAAGAAAAATGTACTTTAGAAACTATGATTGCCAAAAAGCAACTAATATATCATATGAGATTATGAAAATTATAGACTAAATTATTGGAGCAATTATGTTGTGTGGTGAAATCAAGTGCGATATTGTACTTTTACCGCAATATTTTTTTTTTCTGAATTTCTTATATTGATTTTGGCAAGACCTGAAATAAATCACAAAGGCAGGAGATCAAATAAAATAATAAAATTATAGGATTAGATATGAAAAAACTTGGAACTTTTGAATTGTAGACGTGGTTACAGGACAACGATTGATGATTGACTATGTTGTAGACTTAGTCCAGCTTTTAGTCCAGTCATTATAGTAAGTTCATCTCGTAATTCAAGATACCCAGCTATAAGTCTGTAAATACTTGTATATTAACACCCTAAAGTTGTCTCAAAACCTACATATGGTATTGACGCCCTACCATATGTAGGTTTTGAGACAACTTTAGGGTGTCAATATACAAGTATTTACAGACTTACAGCTGGGTTTCTCGAATTCTGAGATTCTTACCTAACTTAAGCTTTAATAATTGAAGAAAATATGTGACTCAATACAAAAATGGCTTTTGGTTTAAATTTCATGCAATTTGTCTGTTCAATAGAGTCTTCTCTACTGTCCATATGTCACCAGCCTAAAACTAAAACCATATGAAGATATGATCTCCTAATATTCTCTAGGACTAAAACTGCACCCCATACAACAAAAGTACATTACACAAACATTAAAAATTTATTAAACTATTTATTATTTCAATTATCATTTCTTACTTATCAATTTGTCATAATCGACGCCGGTCTCGGAGGCACTAGAGACGCTCCATGGTGTCACGATATCGTCTTCCGCACTCGAAGGAGCCCCCTCAGCTTCGGTTCTCTCTTCAGTCATAAAATCAATCTCTCCTTCGCTAGGCATTTTGTAGATTTTACCAAGAAATTAATGGATTTTATAAGAAAATAACCTATGATGTATTATTGCACCATACTATGAGTTGAGAACTGTCAGACTGCTCAAGTGTCAAAT